TTATCAAAAATATTTTTTCCAAAAGTATTGGAAATTTTATAATAAATTTCCCGCCCGTCTGAGAAAGAAGCCGATCCGATGTTTCTATTCGAAATCCTTTTACCTGGAATCCTTCCCTTGTTTGCGTGTTTTTCCATTAAGCAATAGGACAACTTCGCGTCGATTTTTGTCGCTGACGAAATAAAGTGAAAAATAACAGCTATGCCGTGTACATACAAGATAAAGCGTGCCGTATAAAAAAAATTAAATCAAATCCCCTCGGTAGTTCTTATCGAATTTCAAGTGACCAGTAAAACTTTTGAAAGTTTAAATAAATTGACAGTTAATCATGAAGTGAAGGGTTATAATACGGCAGTTATGAAAAATTAACCGTGGCTCGATTAGGCAAAGGATGGACGTGAGTAGATTCGAGTAATTGTAAATTATTAAACCGACATACGTGGGCGTTTGGTAATGCGTTCACGTAATCGCGTTACAACCAAATATCCGCTTTAAGCTTTATTAGCAATCAATTTTTCATACAGCTCGAAGTTATTCTGACAGATTTGGGTGCGAAATTTCCCAACCTGCGACCTCTCCTGCGGCCTCAATACGCCCCGTACTTGAACACCGCTGGCACAGTGCTGTTAGGCTGGTTGATAATCTCTTGGATATCCTACGTAAGCCAAATTCGTTTAATTTTACTTCAATGTTAACACAGCCACCGTTTGCAAATATTATTGGAAAATTTTATTACAATTTACTATGCATTCAGTCGTGTATTTTTATTCACATCACAATTTGCAATTATTCAGAATTTTCATTTACTTTATATTCACTGTATTTTTCATCGTAGAAAAGGTTTTAAAAAAACGATGTTCTATTCAGATTATCTGGTCGTTTCTGGCACCTCTGACGATCAGTTTCCTCGCTGTAATTCTCATCTGTCCAACGACTGCGAAGTGGTGCGTGAAGCAGACCGTTCCAGGACTAGAAATATATTTTAGTGATCTCTTAAACAAATTCCACAGTATTTTCTCAGAGGAGTGATAAAAATTTTTCACGTCACGTTTTTCCATGTAATTTCTCATCGAGAGATGATATCGATAATCACAGATAAATGATTCGATCGAAATTTTATAGCCAAACTGTCGACGTCCATGACTACGAAATTGCATTGTCAGATCGAAGATAAACGATAGAATTAGCAACGAGTGCGATGGGTGTTTTAATTTTGCCCGAGTTAAATCGTTGGTGAACGTAACAAGGTAATTGGCGAGATTGCGGCGTTAAAATGGCGTTGGGTTCTGTGAGAAAAGTTTGCCTCCCTCAAACGAAACTTAATTCCGGCGGACGTGGAATATTTTCACGGTGGACGCACAGCGTCTCGAATAAGAGAAAAGGGACGTTCGCGTCTTCGTTCCGGCATGCGACGGCGCGCGGCGTGAAAACTAGATTAGGAGCATTTGAATTCGTCGCGAAAAGTTTCACCGAAGAGAGAAAGAGGGGGATAAAGGAAGGGAGCTGGCCTGATTTACGTGCACCCTGGGTGCTCGGGCGTTGTCGATTTTTGGCACGGGGGAACAAGTTCCGAGCGAACAACGTCGAGGAGTTACTTCGAGAACCGTGAAAAAAAGAAAAAAAAAGAAAGCGGGGGCGCGACTCGTGAATCAGTTTAGCAGGTTGGAAAAGCTTCGGAATTTTAGCTCGACGGGAAATCGACGATTTACCACCACGTTCGGCTTTTTTTTTTACAATTCCTCCTGTTTTATTCTCCTATCGTTCATGTAGCCAGTTTTATTACTTGTCAGCTTGGCGGCTCGTCGGTTTTATTTTCATCCATTTATTACTGCCTGTTTTTATCGTTTACCGACCTCGACGACCTCGTCATTTGTCATTTTTATTTCCGCGTTTCATTTTTTCATCCCTGCCCGTTTCACTCCCCGGCGTTCGTCTCTCCCCCATTAAACGTTAACAACTTTTCGCGCTGCTGATCAATCGGGCAAACGAGATTCGTCCCGTTCAATTTTCGATTAGGCGTTAATCAGCCCGTGCGACGAAACTGAAAAGTTCAATCATTGCAGTCGCCCGGAGAACAGTCGTACGCGTGTCACGCGTTCAATCGACGTTAATTAGAAATTAATTTTCACGGCTGCGTGCGACACGCAGCGCGTGACTCCTGACGCAACTGAACAACACGGATCCGCTGGGGACGTTGTTTAATTAACAAAGCCGGCAAATCAACATGTAAATTCGCCGTGACGCTTAATCAGTTTCAAATGGACCGCGAGATCCAGTTTATATAAAAAAGTCAGGACTCGGGTTCAAACCAATTAATGT